GTGCTAAGGGCGATGGGCCCAGACCCCTGTGCGCTTAGGTTTAGACCGGCGTGCTGACCTCTCTGTTGTGCCTAGGTGGGGCTGCGACGTGTTGATCTTCCGCGGCCGGGCATGACCCAGGAAAGTGTGTTCGGCCAAATGGGATCAAGCGTGTCGGGTAATGTGGTGCACCCCTGCAGGGAAGTTAATCTATTCGAATAGCCGTGATCTTCGGTAACAGGATGACTTGGAGTTGTACCTTGACCTTATGACAACTAGAACCGGATACTTAATAAAACACACCCTTCCAAGTGCCAGATACAACCGGTGGTTGCTCTCTCTCAGGGCATTGAGGAGGGGATCGCCGGGGAGGATTATGCTATGCGATGCTACTTGGAGGACTTCAGCCTACTCTCTTCTACATGATGCAAGACGGAGGCTGCCAGAAGCGTAGTCTTCGACAGGATTAGCTATCCCCCTCTTATTCTGGCATTCTGCAGTTCAGTCCACTGATATGGCCCTTTACACATATATCCATGCATATGTAGTGTAGCTCCTTGCTTGCGAGTACTTTGGATGAGTATTCACGGTTGCCTTGTTCCCCCTTTTTCCCCTATCTCTACTCGATTGCTGCAACCAGACGATGGAGCCCAGGAGCCAGACGCCACCGTCGATGACGACTACTACACTGGAGGCGCCTACTACTACGTGCAGCCCGCTGACGACGACCAGGAGTAGTTAGGAGGATCCCAGGCAGGAGGCCTGCGCCTCTTTCGATCTGTATCCCAGTTGGTGCTAGCCATCTTATGGCAACTTGTTTAACTTATGTCTGTACTCAGATATTGTTGCTTCCGCTGACTCGTCTATGATCGAGCACTTGTATTCGAGCCCTCGAGGCCCCTGGCTTGTATTATGATGCTTGTATGACTTATTTTATTTTTAGAGTTGTGTTGTGATATCTTCCCGTGAGTCCCTGATCTTGATCGTACACGTTTGCGTGTATGATTAGTGTACGATTGAATCGGGGGCGTTACAGGAACATCACCGGCACGAACGAAGGGGTTGGATAGCCGAGTTCGTGCGGCGACACCGGTGTGCGCCGGCGAAGCCGGAAGACAACGCACCACCGAGACCGAAGGGCGCGGTACCGGTGTACTACCGCCGAGGTCGAAGGGCAATGTGCTGCCGAGGCCCCCCTAGGATGTCCACGCAAACGTTGTCCGGGCCACCATGAAGCACAACCCTGACGGAAAGGAGACACCAAAGTAGAAGCATACTGAGAAGCATCACTGGCACGAACGAAGAGCGTCGGATAGCCGAGTTCGAGCGGCGTCACCGGTGTGCCGCCGGCGAAGCCGAGAAGGCAACGCGCCACCGAGACTGAAGGGCGCAACACCGGTGTACTGCCGCCGAGGTCGAAGGGCAGCGTGTCGTCGAGGCCACCCCAGGATGTCCTAGCGGGCTCCACTCAAGTCGCCTAGAACAAAGGCCGGCTAGGATCGAAGCCGAGGTGAAGATGGAGCAGCAAGAGGCGAGTCCACCCGAAGCAAAAATAATCCAAGAAGATGCCCCCAAGGAGGAAACGACGTAGGGACATCGACACCATCCGACTCGGGGAACCCCGGGTCCAAGATTTCTCTCGGGATCTGAGAGCTTGGGGGGGGGGGGAAGGAAAACAGTGCCACAATCGACACCTTTAAGAAGGGAAAATGGAGGCCGCAGCCGTCACCGTCGATGAAGTTTTCACCCGGCAGTGCCTCATCCACCTCGCAACCGGAGCAAGCCAGCCACCCACCACTGAAGCGCATCAGCCTAGGCAGCGAAGAGCCGCGAAGCGAGCAACGGAGGGCCAAAGAAACAACAACACACCGGACTCGAGAGAGCACGAAGAGCAGGTCGACGACGAGGCCATTCGAACCCACAGATCTGGAACGGAAGCGCAACCACAGGAGCCGGCGAAGGCCGAGCGAATCCGGCCATCCGGCATCCCCACGAGATCAGAGAGGAAGGGGGTAGGCTGGGGGCGCGCACACGAACACGCACGAGCCGGAACCGCGGCCTGGAGGAGACACCGATGGGGACGAGGAGCGGCCAGAGCCGAGGCAGGGCCGAGCCTCAGCCAGCCCGGCCGCCAACACCCAAGGGCCTCAAGCCCATCCACCAGCAGCAGCAGAGGAGAGCTGTGTCAGGGGAGGAGAAGGAGGCTGGCCTCTAGCGCATCCACCAGCAGCAACAGTGGAGCTGCGATGGGGCGACCGAGGGATGAGCAGGCACGGGCCGTGCCACCGCGCCGAGCCGGAGGCGACGCGCCAGATCCGATCTGGGGAGGAGGGAGGTGTGGCTCCCGACGCGCAGGAACGAGGCTGCCCCGCCGCCACCATCCCGGGGCACTCCGCGGCTTTGCCGGCAGGCCCTCCGGCGGCGGCGCAGCAGAGGGTGGTGGCGGAGATGGGACCTGGCCGCCGGCGGCTAGCTTTCCCCCGTGTCGCCAGTCGCGGGTGACGCGGGGGCTGGAGCGACCTCCCCTTCTACAGTAACATTTTGGGCAATTTATGAATAGCAATTTTAAAATTTATCTATTAGGTATACAACATATCTTTAATATTTTATTTTATCAGCATGGTTAAACATACACTTGACTTTCATGAAAATTAATGCACCTTAGTATTTTAAATAGTTTTTCTAAAGCACATTTATATGTGCTCTAAGACTATCATAGTGGGAGTAAGACTAGCCACAGTGGAAGTAACATAGATAGTAACATCAGACATATCTAAACAAAATAGATGATGTGGCAAGCAATAAATGAAGAAAGAGAGGCATGCGGTAAAGCTAGTTACTACTAGTATAAGAGCATGGTTAATAAGGCTGCTTGTAATGGGTAGTATCATAAGTTAGTATCATGCATATGATACTAGTATATGATACTACCTCCCTAATGCATAGTATCATATACTAGTATTATAGGTGACTTTATTTATTGCCATGCATGACACATAGTAGTATTGCATTCATTATGATACGGTATCATGATATGATACTCAACCCTCTCTTTCTTCATTTAATTTTATGCCACCTCATCTAAATTGCCTAGTTGGCATGCATGATACTTGCTATGATACTACCATTACGACCAGCCTAAGAAAGCCTGCTGCCGGCTATATATGTACGCCGTGTCACTTATAGTCTTCGTAATAGCCTGCTAGTATAGTAGATTGACTGTAAACTAGATATCAATACTTAATGCGTGCATGTGAAAGGAGGGAAGGAGACGCATGCTGATTGGCGGGAATGAATGAAGCGCTAGCTCACCCGGCTGCATCCAGGCTGCATGCGGTTTGGATTTCTTGTTTCCAGCGCTGTAGCCGGCGATAACTGAAGCGCCCGCTTGCTTCTTTTCTCTTCCTTCTCTCTCTTCCAGCTATGATTTTGATGACGTGGAAGTTCTTATAGCCTGCTGACTGGATATTATTGTACTTGCTCTAAGTAACATCACACATATCAAGGCAAGACAAGTCTATAGCCTAATAAATAAAGTGTTGCATGTTATCACACATATGTCACTCCCCACTATAGAGGTAGTAACATAGAGTAGTAACATTTGGTGTTGGCTACCTGGAGCGGGAGAGAAGGGCATGTTATCACTACTCTATGTTATTACTCATTGTGGCTAGAACATAAGCTAGTAACTTACACGCTTCCCTAGACTATGTTATTACCTTCATAGTGGGTAGGAACATCTATGTAGTGTCATGCAACGATGTATTTATTAGGTTATAGACTCATTGTTTCTTGTAGTGTGTGATGTTCCGGTAACTTAGCTAGTTACCACAAGCACCTCTCTCTTTATTAAATACGTGCCACATAAGCAAAGTTGTATTGGAGTGTGTGATGTTACTCCTAAGTTCCTCCCCACTGTGACCAGCCTAACATAGATAGTAACATCACACATATGTAGATAAAATAGATGATGTGACAAACAATAAATGAAGAAAGAGAGGAAAGTGATAACATAGCTAATTATTAGTAAGATGAGTAACATCACACATACCAAGGCAAGATGAGTCTATAGCCTAATAAATGAAGTGTTGTATGTTACCACATATATGTTACTCCCCACTATAGAGGTAGTAACATAGCCTAATAACATAGGCATGTTACTAGTCTATGTTACTACCCATTGTGGATAGTCTAAGAATTGCACATCTAAATCCTATGTCATTAATTTTACGGTAAGATTCATGCAATAACACGTCACCTATGTTAAATTGAGATTCAAATTCTAGTACCGTGTTGGACTAGATGTAGTACAAATGGTGTGGGCCTTTGCGTTGACGTCGACGCGTATGAGTACAACTCGTTTACTTGTCCTCCAACGATTCTTATGTATTGCCCACATATATACCCCATGTAGTCGCACCTAAAGACGGTCTGTCGTCTCATGCTTGTAATACTCCTCCATCATAGTGATTGCACCTTTATGTGTTCGTGGTTTTTCTCCCGCGAAGGTTTTCACGTAAAAATCCGTGTCTCTTTGTCTTATTTATTTCTCGTTGTTATCTAACAACCTCAAATGAAAGAAGTATATGTATATTGTACATATCATGCTCGGATTCTTCATCTCAAATTGTTTTCTCTTTCTCCTCCTATACTTTAGCTCACAACTCGCCACCACCACTTCAATAGTTGGAAGAAGTAAAACGCCATTGCTTGACTAATCACAAACGTTGCTAAGTTGCATGCATTAGGTTTATCTAGACCACCAAAACATTGCAAGTCACGAGGAAAAGTACTTAACAACTAGCCTGATACTCATGCGCTTGCTAGCCACATCCATACATTGATACATGCAAATATAACCTGAAAATGAATCGAGCTAGGTAATCAGACAACTAGTGTGGTCCAGTTGTTCACAGGAGACGCACAATTTCCCGTTCAAATTAGCACTAGATCGGGGCTGCGATGATAAAACAGGAGCCTCGAACTCGCCGGCAACACGCTGACTGACATGATGACGCTGGTCAGTTCCCGGCAGGCGGCAGCGGCGGCGGCCAGGTGAGCTCGAGGCCGCCGAAGTCGTCCCACGCGCCGGCGGGGGCGAGCGCCCCGTCACAGCCACCCCACGGCGCCGCGAGCCAGTCGTAGAGGTGGTCCGTGGCTGCTGGTGTCGTCCACGGTAACACGCCGAGCCCGAGGTCGAACTGCGGCAGGAAGACGGCGCCGTCGGTGAGGAACGGGAAGACCGGGAGCGGCAGGTCCGGGCCGGGGTGGCCCGCGTCCTGGTCCGGCTGCGGCGAGTCGGACGAGGGCGTGTGGGGCTCGGCTGAGGACCTGCGGCGCTTGCTGTTGCCGCCGGAGCCGCGGCGGCACGCGCCGCCGACGGGGACCTTGCGCAGCGTGCCGCCGTGCGTCCAGTAGCGGCGGCAGGTGCGGCAGTAGTGGCGCGGCTGTGCCGTGCTGTAGTTGTTGTAGTAGCAGAACTTGGTGTCGGTGGAGCTGCACCGCGGGCACTCCAGCTTCTGCTGCTCGCTCTGGCTCTGGCCGTTCTTCTTGGTCGCCGCGCTCTCCTGGTCACCACAGTTCACCTGTGACCACACGCACGCATCAGTACGTACGTGGCTTGCCGGAGAGGAGACAGAGTGAGCACCGAGCTGAGCAGAGACTGACCTGCGCGAGCGGCTGCTCTTGCTCAGCAGCGTCGGGGGCGGAGTCGGCGGCGAAGGGGCGCTTGGAGCCGGCGGCGGGGAGGAGGGAGGCGGAAGCTGGAGCCATCGTTTGCCGTGCGGGCGGGGCAGCGCATGCCGTGTCCGGCTTAAAACGAGCTGCGGGCGGGAGCGCGCGGTGATCACCGAGCTACTCCCTGCTCGTAGCAGGTAGGGAGAGGGTAGGAGAGGGAGGAGAGAGTGAGACGTAGCGGTCAGTGTGAGCTGGATGGGCGGCGGCGGCAATCAGATGATGATGGAGCTGACGGATCGATCGGGCGACGGGAGCGGTTGGGCGTGGGCTACTAGTGGTAACCTATGCGAGTCCAGTTGGGGTCCTATATATAGAAGCCGGCGGCGGGTGACGCGGCATGGGCGTACGGCGGCAGAACAAGATGCTCTCCTTGCGTCCGAAGGCAGCTTCCTCCACCGTGCACGGTGTACCCCACTCGCGTGCGTCGCCGTCGCGTTCTATGTATGAATGTCTGGCGCGACCGGCGACGTAGACCCGACGCGCACGGCCGAGAAAACCGAACGGCCGGCAGGGTGTCCATGGTGTGGCGTGGAGAGACTGGAGAGTTCTCGGTCCGTCCGTCCTCGGCCGTGGTGGGTGGATGCATGCGCGCGCGGCACTGTGAAAAGATACTGTGATGGACGTAACCCGACCCAAGTGTGCTGTACGTGTACGTGTACGTGATCGGCGAGTCGGCATCTGGCGTCGCCGCCACGGCGCAGCCGGTGGCGCGGTGACGCCGACTCGAGCATCCACTGTGTTCTGCGTGCGTGACAACGCTAGCCGACGGGGCGGATCGGCGTTAATGGGAACGGGCTCGAGCTGGCGGGGGCTCGTCGTGCGCTCTGCTCGTCGCGTCACCGTGGACGGGGCGCGGGCCCGGCGGGGGTTGGCGGGCTAGGTGAGAGGACAACGGGGGACATGGTCGGTGCCGCTTTTTCTACGCGGCGGGGCCACACGCAGCGTGCGCTGTCACCGTCGTCGTGGGTTTTGTCTGTCGTCCTGGGTGACAGGGTGAGGTTAAATTTTGCGATCCCGCGTCTGTCGTCGACGGTGGCTCCTCTGCTGCGAGGTTCCGCTGCTAGATCGGCATTGTCCAGACTCGAGAACCAAGTCCTATTTACCGTGGACATTGGCACACTGCTTCCGGTCGTTTCTCGATCGGTTACCGGCAGAAAAAACAATTTCTGTTAATTTGGATGGTTTTTTTTCCAATGAAAACTTTCTGATATAATCTATTTTCACCGGAAGGACGCCCACTTACTTTTCTACCGACCAATCGGCTCCTCCACACCTCAGCTGACGCATATATGGGGCGGTCCGGACACGCCCATCATGTCAGCCCAGTCCACATTGACCCGCACCGGTCCCACCAAGTCCTAATGAAAAACCTGCATCAAGAACAAACTCTACCTCACTCCCCCACTCTTCCCTCCACGGCCCATCAATTCCCCTCCTTTACAATGTCAAGCACCGGCAGCGAGGGCGATCCCACCAACTGGGATGTCCTTGTCCGTGAGGCGGAGGCGAACATCGACGAGGAGCTCGTCCTCACATCGCACTACAACGGTCACGAAGGGACAGGGGCGGTAGTTCAAGCACTGTTCCGACCCCTGTCGCCCGCCAACACAGCATGGACGCCAACACAGGCCCGTCACGCACTGCACGCTTCGCTGGCCCAACTCCTCCGGCGGGTGCTCTGCACGGTCATCGGTGGATGCTCGTGCCCGCACTACGGCGGACGTGGACGCCGTGAAAGGTAGCAGGCAAGGAAGAGGGCGGCAGCAATGGAGGCTCTTGTTTCCTCCCGTCGGGTCCGCGTCCAGCCGACAATTGATGCGGAGGAGGAGCTCCTCGTGGAGGTCCTTCGTCGCCCGTTCACCATGGCAGAGACCGACGCGCGCTAAGGCGTCCAGCTCAAGATGACGACCGAAGCAAAGGCCGCCGAGCTGGCGAAGCAATAGGCATGCACCGCCCATTGGATGGCCGACATAGTCTCCTCCTCCGATGACTCCCACGTCTCCAGCGGCTCAATGACTCCGAAGATGCCTCTCCTGCTCCCGGCGCCTACACGGAGGCCTACAGCCGCACCGACGATCGCAAGGGGAAGGGCCTGACATGAAAACCACGATGTTCGACGCCCCCGTCCGTCGTTGTTTTATGTTTAGTTGATTTCTACTTTTATGTCTGTATGATCCGACCAATTGTCTATTTTGGTCCCAAAAACTGTGAATCTATGCACTTATGGTGATCTATGTCCGTTTGATCCTATGTTTATCTACATACTATCTCATGTTGCATGTATAGCAATGTATAGCATGGTTTTGAGGGGGGGGGGGATATGAGGTATCCGGTTGTGGTCACAGGTAGTCCTGGCCATCTCCGGCCCGGCCCTGTCAGCCCACCCAGGCCCAGCCCTAAAACCTAGGGCCTAGGCCCGATGGGCTTGCCGTGGGCCAGCTTGGGCCTGAGTTTTGAGCCCACCAGTAGGGCCTGGACAGGCTTGGGCTTGGCATATTCGCATTTTAAAGAAGAGGCCCGACCCATGGCCCAAAGCCCTAAGGGCTTTTCAGGGCTTTTTACCAGATAGGCCGGGCTTGGGGTTGAACAGTTTTCTGTCGTGGGCTTTTTTAGGCCTGGCCCAAGCCTGGCCCAGTCCGGCCCATGGCCAGGTATAGTCACGGCCATATGAGGGGTTACCGATCACAGTCCGTGGACACGTTTGGACGTTTCTGTGGACATTTAGGGCCCGGCATTTACTAGATCTGGCTGTAGATGTTGCATTTGCTAACTCCGATTGCCTCTAAATATGTTAAGATCTTTTTATGTCCAAATCAATGGTGTTATATAGTCGTGTGGCTTAATCTTGATTCTTGGCAGTATTGCACAAATCCTGACAGGAGAGATTGGGGACAATACATACACAAACGCAAATGATAAGTGTCACACGTCAGGTGCGTGATACTCCAGTCCTAACGCTTTTGATGGCAATTCCAAGCACGCAAGGATGGCGAATTCCAGTGACACTCGGCAAGTTTCTATCAATCATGCTTAGCAACTAAAGGTGTCATCCTCTGTAACTAAACTTGCCGTCAAAAATGTTCGGAGTTGCCTTGTGCTCGCACATGACGTGTGGCACTTATCAGGGTCCTAGACAAAGGGTCATGTATTCATCATTAGTACTTGTTTTTTTTCCTTTACATCTTTTATTTTCCAGCCGTGTCAGCTGAAATCTAACAGTTGGCAGTGCTTCCTCCTTCATTGGATCATCCTCACGAGTTCCCTCTCGAACCGGCGACCCCACGCCATTCGTAGTCGGCGGCGCTGCCGCCCCTGGCAATCCCTCTGATCCTCAAACCTGTCAAAGTTGTGTCCAGCAATCCCGCACCCCAGCCAAACCTGTCAAAGCCTCCTACTTGCTACCACCGTTGACGCCTCCGTCTCCGGCTCGGGGTTATACGTTCTACTTTATGCAAATGAGATAAGAATGGCCATGTGATATGCGATCTTCAATTCTCCTCACTCTTGCAAATCTCAAATGATAGACACGACTCAGCCAATTACGTTAGTTATCTACACGATAGACATCTCTGTCAGGCGGCATGTTACCGGAGAGTACTGTGAGAATCACGTGAGGGCATAGTTAAAAACCTCATGAGAATTTCACTGGAATTTGGTGATTTCAAGGGCTACCAACGAAATTGTCTTGAAATTTCTGGCCATATCTAAACTAAATTCATTTTTTGGTAAACATCTCATTTTTAATCAAATTTTTCCAGAAGGATTTTGAAATTGTAGACACGGAGCGATGGAGTGCAATAAAACCGGGCGAAAGCATGACGATGCGTATAGTATGCAGGTTGAGCACAAGGGCTAGAAGCAAGCATCACCATGATGCTGACACGCTGACATTGTAGGTCGAGATGGAGAAGCTGGCAGCGAGAGCATGTCGAGAAAGGAAACAATGAAACCCAAGGGGAGAAATTTCTGAGAGTGTGGTAGTGGCCTAAAAATAGTTTTCGATTAGTCGATATTGTTATCCATCAGATCAAGTTCTTTCAGCCCCTTTGTATTTTGCATGAGTATAAATTTTCGCTGGCTTATTGCCCGAGAAATAGCAAGAACGAAATGGTAAGGGCTTGCATGTACAATTATTGATAACATACTCTTAGGCTGTGTTCGGATTGGAGGAGAGCAGAGCAAAGGAATAGGAAAAAGTACAGGAAGTGAGGTTGGGTGTACAGTACAAATCACAGGTCTCCAAAGTAGAGGAATAGAAAAATGAGGTGTGTTCGCATCACAGGAAGCTTTCTAGCCGTTGCCTTGAGTTTTGACCGTTACACATACTAGCCGTTGCACTACATTTGCTCTATATATATGTACAGATGCACAAGCTTAAGAACAACACACATCACACAGCCAACCATTCCCACAGCCATTCCTCACTGCTGAGTTCATTTCAGCATCACATTTCTCACTCAAGCGATGAATCCAAACTACCGTAGGCGATCAGAAAATGAAGATGAATTCGTTTTTCTCATACATCCTACATTAGAAGGCAGCAGCTCATCCACAAAAATGCCAATACATACATCCATCCTCACAGGATCCACATACATGCATGAAACACTTACCGGCCATGAGGTCTTGTGCCAGAGACGATTCCACATGGAGAGAGAGATCTTTCAAGCCTTAGTTCAAAAATTGTGTGAGAAGTGCAAACTTGAAGACGGAACATATGTATCCGTGGAAGAGCAAGTAGCTATATTTCTATACACAATATCAAAAAATGCAAGCAATCGGACAGTGCAAGATATATTCCAACACAGTGGATCAACGGTTAGTTATTATTTTCGAGTTGTGCTCAATGCAATTACATCACTATCATGCAACTACATACGATTGCCGTCCCTACACCCACATCGCATCTTAAGGCAGCGAAAATTTGCATACTTTCAGGTACTACTTATGTTCTATTTTGACATGGTAAATTCATACTAGGCAAATTTGATGTTTGCATATCTCTAATTGTAGCATGAAATTTACAGAATTGTCTT